ATATATATATCTGTTTTCAGTTTTCAGGGATTGCTTTTCTTCTTTGTGATTAAACCGTTTTTAAAAATTATCAACAGTGCTTACATGGCTCTAAAATGTATAAGGCAAGGTAGATTTGGAGAAATTTTGCTTTCATTCTTCCTTCCTCCACTCTCTCTTCTTCCTTCTTTTATAGTTAACCATTTAGTTTTTTTCGTTTTTTGTTGTTATTGTTTCCTCCCGAAAAGATAAGCAAATCTACCTATCTACGCTTCTTTATTTCTCTTTCTGATGTAAAAGGTAGCACACGATATATACTATTTTTTATCTTACTTTTGGACACTTAACAAAAAACCCTAAAAGTCACCCCTTGACAATATATGGAGATCTGCCCCAGTTCTGTTTATGGTTACATCATTTATGTATCCAGTCCTTTATGTATTTGGTTGCTTTGAGTCTTCTGTTATTATAAATTGCTTGTAATGAATAGGCAAGCATATCTGCTATATTGTATTTCTGCCATGTACCTTTGTGCTAATACTAGAAGTAGAATTGCTGGGTCTAAATGTAGATGAGTACATGATTTTAGTACAAAGCACCAAAATTCTTGTTCTTAGTATCATTTTGCCAGTATTTTAGGAGAGTGCCTTTTTTATTCCCATAGCCTTGCAAATGGTATATTTTCAATCTCTGGAATTTTTGCCAAACTGAGGAGAAAATATCAGTATGATTTTTAATTTGTATTTCTAATCTTATGAGTAAGGCTGAAATCATGCTGTTAATAAGTATGTGTATCATTTTCTATTAACTTTTGGCATATATGTATATATGTGTGTATAGCATACATTTTACCCACAGGAGATAAAACGCCTACAATTTTGGAAGTATATCAAATAATACCTTAGAAGCCTTGATGATTCAGCAGACCCTCCCCAAAATTAGTGTGTGTGTGTGTGTGTGTGTGTGTGTGTGTGTGTGAATAGGTGTTTATGTGAATATTCTGGAATGTGGGAAACAAAACTTGTACACTTAGACATTTTTCCTTAAGGAGCTAAGAGCCACAAACACTAAAATCTTTATCAGGTTAGTGAAAAAGTCAATACATTCATACCAGGCTTTTAAACCTTGTCCTGAGCACCATATTATGAAAGATTGAAAAAAAAAAAACCACAGAAACAGCTGTTTATTTGTGTTTCAAACTTAAATTCTATCATCCTAGTTTGATCTTCTTCTAAATTGGAATGTCGTTTCAAAACCAATTTTCAATATTCTTGCCATTTAAATTCTAAGAATCGTACAGTGGTAGGGCCTTTGTGCCCCATCACGAGTCGGGCCGGGAACGTTTTACTACAATGTGATATTAGCCTCTGTGGAGTTCTGATGTAACTCTGTAACGTAAGTCATACCCAACCAGACTGTAGAATGGTAATATACACTCAACCAGACTGTACCATGGTAGTTTGTGCCCATATAAGGGAGACAAAGACACAAAAATTGTATAAAAGTGTGCAATGATGCCATGTTCGGCACTCAGCCTTTGGATACGAATCCACTGAGTCAAGTACAACTGAAGCTACTCCCTACGAAAAGGCCTTGGAGTCCCCTCTCTACATGAAAATTCTGCAGTGTTACCTTTATCTTTTCTACTGTAGCCCTGTTTATGGCTCCCACATAAAGCCCATCCAATTGTGCCATGACATAGCCAGTGTGTCTCCAAAACGAGTCGTTCTTGTGCTCTCTGATGTTTTTCCTCGTCCACTTCTCTTGCTTCCTGGAAGAGAAATTAGGTTGGTACTAGAGGTCTCAATGGCCGCTCATCCAAAGCTAAATCAAACTAGGTGTTTAGAGCTTATATACGCAGAGACTTAGGCCGGTGTGACTTAAATTCTAGTTCTTAGGACATTCCAGTCACTCAAAGAATTTCAGGGCAAGCCTTAAATGATTTTCAATTTCTCTGTGGGACTATCATATTCTTTTATAGCTTCTTTTGGGCTCTATCTAGAACCAAAAACAAGTGTCATATTAACATACCTATGATACCAAGACCTAGGAAAATCAAACACAACCTGTTCATATGCATTTCATATAAAACCATAATAGTAAGCCAATAAAGTAGTTGATTAACTTTACTTTTGTGGGTAGGCATGGTAATGTCATACAACCGGAAGAACAAAGCCTCTTAAGGACATGATGGGGTTTGTATCCTTCTAATTCTCTCACAGATGATGTTCATAGCTTATGGTTCATTCTGTTTCAGTTGTTATTAATAACTGCTTCCATGTCTCAGTGCTAGCATGCTTAGCAAAAAAAATATGATTTTTATAGTCCTTTTGTTCTCTCTTCTCTCAGCTTTCTGCCCTTTATAGGGGATGATTTGATACAAGTTTATATATAGAAAGCTATTTCTGATTTGTTCAGGCTATCTCCAAATCAATCTTAGAACAATACAATGCCATGCCATATGGAATCTGGCCCACTGTTTTTATTTTTTATTTATTTATTTTGTTTTGTTTTTGTTTTTGTACCAGGGGTTGAACTCAGGCCCTTGCACTTGCGAAGCAGGCACTGGAACCACTGAACTAAATCCCCAGCCCTGGCCCAGTGTTTTTAACTGATGCTTGGCAGGACTTTTAGCATTTCTGAAGAAGCTGCTTAGAATGTGATGTGGAAGGTCAAACCAAGACCCCTTCAGTTCCCAAATGAATCTCCTACCATCAACCCACAAATTTAATATTTAAAATTTGAGTCTTGAGAAAAACTCTCTTAAAATGGAAATAGTCTCAAAGGATTTTAAGATTTATGACTGGACTGCAGATATTAGCTGATACCAACTAGATTTACTCAACAGCCCCATAACAAAAAGCACCTTAAAGAGGGGAAAAAGGGATCTCTATGAGACGAGAAGGGTCACCTGTGTGGAAGGGATTCAAGGACTTAATTTTGTCTGTTTCACTCTGGTGGTGTCTTCTAGCTGTGCTAGCAACTGATAATGTGATATTCAACCTGACCTTTGAGGGAGCCAAAATCAGAGGACATATCTACAATCAATTGTCATGCTATGACCAAAAAATGCTATACATGCAACTCTAGTGTCCTGCTAAACACGTAGAAAAAGCAATGGGCAAAATAATAATTACTGCTTAAAATGACAGAATCAGGACTCTGCAGCCTTAACAATGAAAAGAGAAAAGCTTTTGTACATACTGCATAAAGTCCTGCACTTGATTTATGATGGAAGATTTCTTGATCAGCTGGGGGTAGAGGTTTGTGAAGTGGTCATTCATGTGTCTGAAATGACAAATAGAAATTTTTAAAAAAATGGTTACGTTCCTGTTTTTCTTCTTGGATTTATCTATTGCAGTAACTTACCCAATATTTTGGCTAATAAGCATGTCCTTGATTGCAAATCTTCTGTACTATATTTCAAGTAAATAAAATTCACACTTAAAATTAAGAAATATTTTCAACATATAGAAAAGTATAAAATATAACAAACTCCCAAATATATACTATTTAACTTTATTAAATCATTATATTTTGCCATATCTGCCACACATAAACACTTAAAACACAATGTGCACACTTTCCTGACACTAATTCCCTCCTTTCTTCCCAGAGGTGACTACAATTTTGAATCTGATTTACTCTTCCTGTGTGTATGTTTTACAATCACTACATATTTAATCATAAATAATGTGTTTTACTATTATCATGCTTCCAAACAAAATAGGAATAAGATCATGCTGATCTATTACTATAATTTGTTTATTACTCTTAACTTTGAAGCAGGACTTAACAAAAAAAAAGGAAAACAATTCCCCAAACTAAACAAATCCCCCTTTAGATTCCCCCCTCTCTATGGCTGTTGCTCTTTGTTCTATTACAAATAAAATTAGTAACTTTGTCCCTGTAAATAAGGTTCCAAAATCTCCTGTTCTCGTAAGATCCTGTTTTTACCCAACTAAGGTCACTACGATATGCTGTTACAACACTGTCACAAGCCTTACTAACTGCCTTCGTTCTGCTTCGTCCAGAAGTTTTGTAGCATTAGGTAGACCAAATTCCCTCAACAACATGCACAATACTAGAGCCCTTCCTTTGTCCTGGGCTCAGTCTTTGGACATGTATGAGTTTGCTGAGTCAATGTATATTTAAATCCTCCCGTTTCACCTGGTCTCTCAGGTATCTTGAGTTCCCACAACAGTATGATTTTGAAAGAAACATGTCACCATCTGCTGCTTAAATTCTTTTCAGTTCCTGATACTATTCCATGGTATGGCTATATACCAATCCATACACACACCTCTCTGATGAACATTTGAGTGGATTTTCATTGTTTACCATGGTAAACTATCATAACTAGTTTATTCCTTATATATAAATATATACATAAAAGTGGAAAACATTTTCAGCACGAGAAAAGCATAGCCTATACCAAACACCCAAGTAGACACTACCTAACTTTACTAAATTATAGATATAATATAAAATGTTATATATAATACAAAATTTTATAAATTATATAAATAATATAAAATTATATATAATATACAGTATAAAACTGTATAATATATAATATAAAACTTTATATTATATAAGCACTGGGGTTAATAGTTTATATTATAAACATATAAAATGTATTTTTCTAGATACTGCCAAATTGTTCCATAATGATACAGTAAGTCTTCACCTTACAAACAAGTTCTATTTTGGGAGAATGTTTGTAAATAGAATTTAATCTAGCAAAATGAGTCTTATACAACACACCTACAAAAGTCTGCAACTAGAATTTTCATAAGTTGGGAATTTAGTGTAGTAATAATTTACATTTCCAGGCTTCTTTGTCCACAGCTTTACCAACACATGATATTGTCAGAATTTATAGTTTTCAATAATTTGATGGATTTAAATAGTTTCTCTATTTAATTTCTATTCCTCAAAAGATTATTGGGCATTTGGGATTCTTTATTTTAAAAGGCAAAAGATTCATATAATCTGAAAAGAAACCAGAGTATAGGGACTCTTTATTTTAAAATTTAAAAGATTAAAAATTTCTTATATGTTATCCAGTAAACAATTTTAATTGATGAAAATAATCCATTTATATTTATTGTAATTTTAATATTTTGGAATTTATTTCTATAATCTTTTCTGTTTTCCTCTTACTATCCCTTTCTTTGTCCCCTCTTATGTTCTCTTTCTTGTTATTTTTTTCATCCTTTTTCCTCCCACTGATTTAGAAACTATAGAATGATCATCATCTTTAAAAAGTATATGTTTTCTTATGAAGCCTATATGAATTTTATAATTCTCTTTTCCCCCAGACATGAAACATATTTTGGTAAGGATTACCAATGGACATTCCCCTCATGTTATTGTTCAGACTTATTTTTACCTTTTGAATTTAAAAAAATATTTTAATTTTTACAGTAAAACTTTACTTATTTATTTTTTCTTATATTAACTGTTACTTTTTTTTCTTTTTATTGAGTTTATTGGTACAATCTAGGTATACGATACAGTTACATTCATCATTGGGATTCTGTACCTTTACATAATAGGTCTTGATTCTCATTTTTTCCCCTTGTCCCTGCCCTCCCTTCACCCCCTCCTCCCCTCCCCATTTACAAACACTTTATTTCCATTTTTTCAATTTCTCATATTTTTCCCCTCCCTTATTACCTTTCCCCCACCCTTCCCACTTTCCCTACACCTTTAGCCCTTTACTTCCTATTTCACATTATTACTTATCTCATTAGGATCCTGTGTACTATTATAGTTTTTCACACCAGAGAAACTATTCAGTATTTCAGTTAAAGAAATCTCTGTATGAACATTAAAAATAGGGAATCCTAAAATAAAACTAAAAAGGAAAGTAAAAGAGAAAAGGCAATGATGTAAGATTAAAATAATCCTTAATTCTGAAGATGAAAATGGTCCCTTAACATATTTAAATTGCTTCTTACTCTTGTAGTCTTATCTTATTCTTTTTTTCACTTTTTAGAGAATACTTTATTAATTTCTGTAATCAAACCCATGTAGATATGACCTAACATATTTAATACAGTGTGTTACACCTGTACAAATGGAAAAAAATAAAAAATAAAAATAAAAAATTTAACATTTCTAGACCAATATGGCTGTCCACGTCTGTACAATGCCAACTCAACACAGTAAATTGGGATAACTTTTTCCAAAGTTGACAGCAAAGTTAGTTTTCAAAAATTCAAATTATATATATATATATATATATATATAAAGACCAATAAGATCAGTATGTTATGCATCAATAGCAGCAACAGCTTTTCCTGGTTCTGCAGTCATCTGAACAAAATTATAGACATTCAGCACATTCCATTAAAACACACACACACACACACACACACACATAAGAAAAGAATAATGTCCAGAAAACAGCAAAGTTCTCTTGCTGTTGTGGTACCTGGCACCATTATTTTTTTTTTTTTAACATCTTAATCATCATCTGGAAAGAGAAGACTGTTACTTTTTTGTACAATGACTATTCCAAAGCTTCCCTCCTGTTACTCTTATGAAACTACATCCTTTAATAGTTTAATAGAAATCTGTGGGTGGTAAATGGTTTAACTGATATATATGAACATAACCTTATTTTGCCCTTTTTTGGGCAAAATTAAATGGTTATACAATTCTAGTTAGATATTTTCTCTCAGTACTTTTAAAGTATTATCTTGATATTTTCTGGCTCTGTTGTTGGTGATGAGAAGTATGCTTTCTAGCTGAGATTCCTTTGAAGTTCATGTCTTTCTTTTAAGATTCTCCTTATCTTCAATTTTCTGTAGTAGTAATTAAATAGGCCATGTTTTCCAGTAAAGAATTCATGACTTTTTCCCCAATTTTGATGAATATCACCTACTACCTTATCCATTATTTCTTATCTTCAATTTCATCTGTTCCCTTTTTCTGGAATTCCTAATGGTCCTATGTCATCTAACTACTATATCTAATAACAACTTTTTCATTATCATTACCCTTTTACTTTTTTTAGTCTTTGCATTGTAAATCCTTCAATATTAATATTTGATTCAGATTTTTTTGTCTGATTTTGTCCATTCTAGGGTTTGTCTGTAAGATGTTAAAAATGACTAATTTCTATAATTGTCTGTCATAGTATTTCTAACAAGTAGTTCTTTTAAAGTGACCTGTCTGTCTTCTGGTTTATTCCTTTCTTTTTCATACATATTCCTTCAAATTTTTCTTTCATTTATAATTTAAAGCACTTTATGTAAATTAAAGTCTCTGTTAAACTATTCTATAAAATTAGGCTAGAGTGTATTCTTGATTTGATGCTTGATTTAGTTAACTGCTTTTCTTAGCATTCAGTTTGAGAGAGAGAGAGAGAGAATATTTTGGAACTCTGGAGTGCTGCATTTTCATTTACTTATGTATACATTTTTCTCTATCTCCTTTCACTCTTCCCCAAGTGCCTCCACTGAGTCCTGAACTTCTGACCTGTGGAATATTGCAGATACATCTATAAATGAGTCAGCCTGGGAATGATTTCTTTTGGGTATCCCCCTCCCCACCCTGCAAGTTCATGGCTTCTTAAAATTTAGGATGTTGCCCTAGTTTGTATGAGTGGTCTCCCAAGGTCCACACGTTTTTTCCAGGGTAGCAGTACTGTGAGATACTATAAACATTTTAGAGGTGGGGAGTCCTTTGGAGAGGTCCTTAGTCCATTGTAATTGTGCCCTTAAAAGGGATTGTGGGACCCCCCCATCTTTCTTTTTCTTCTTCTTTCCTCTCTGCCATTCTTCCTGGCTCAAGATGTGACATCACCGTAACACATGCTCCCCTACAATATGGCACCATCACAAATCCCCCCACCTAATGGTGCCACCTAACCTTAGACTTGAGCCTCCAGAAAAGGAATCAAAATATTCATCTTTCTGTCATAAGTAGCCTGTATTTCATTATAGTAATGCAAAGCTTACTGGTACAGATGCACATCAATAGACATTATTTTGTGATTTCCTATTCTATAAAGTTAAAAGAAATAAGGTCACTTATGCTACCCAACCTTGACTAAGCCACTCAGAGCACTGGGGCTCTCACCCCTCAGAGGGGTTACTCCTGCCTGCTTCAGACCTGGGGCCAGTACAGTCATAGTGGATCACTTTATTTTCTGTTCCATTTTTGGTTCAAGAGTTGTTTGTCCTGCTTGGGGACCCAGTTATGTTACCATGACGTTTTCTTTCTATGTATTTTATCCATCACTTGATACATGTTCAGAGCAGAGTTAGTATATC